GCTCGCTGTTCTATAGATTTGGGGATGCTTTGGATAAGGCTCGGGCACAGCATCGGCTCTGTGTTTATCGGGGCTCGCTGTTCTATAGATTTGGGGATGCTTTGGGTAAGGCTCGGGCACAGCATCGGCTCTGTGTTTACCGGGGCTCGCTGTTCTATAGATTTGGGGATGCTTTGGATAAGGCTCGGGCACAGCATCGGCTCTGTGTTTACCGGGGCTCGCTGTTCTATAGATTTGGGAATGCTTTGGTTAAGGCTCGGGCACAGCATCGGCTCTGTGTTTACCGGGGCTCGCTGTTCTATAGATTTGGGGATGCTTTGGTTAAGGCTCGGGCACAGCATCGGCTCTGTGTTTATCGGGGCTCGCTGTTCTATAGATTTGGGGATGCTTTGGGTAAGGCTCGGGCACAGCATCGGCTCTGTGTTTACCGGGGCTCGCTGTTCTATAGATTTGGGAATGCTTTGGTTAAGGCTCGGGCACAGCATCAGCTCTGTGTTTACCGGGGCTCGCTGTTCTATAGATTTGGGAATGCTTTGGGTGAGGCTCGGGCACAGCATCGGCTCTGTGTTTACCGGGGCTCGCTGTTCTATAGATTTGGGAATGCTTTGGGTGAGGCTCGGGCACAGCATCGGCTCTGTGTTTACCGGGGCTCGCTGTTCTATAGATTTGGGAATGACTTGGATGAGGCTCGGGCACAGCATCGGCTCTGTGTTTACCGGGGCTCGCTGTTCTATAGATTTGGGAATGACTTGGATGAGGCTCGGACACAGCATCAGCTCTGTGTTTATGGGGGCTCGCCGTTCTGTCCGTCAGAGAGCTTCTTAGGAAGTGCAGCGCAGTGAATTCTCAGAGCTCCTGCTTCCCCATTTACTCTCCGGTCAGAGGGTAAGAAAGTCGGCAGCACTGGGCTCCAGGGCTGGCGGGAAACGTCTCCCCAGAGGAGGGACCGAGAGCAGGCGTCTTGATGGAATTCACCCGGTGCTGACTCAGCCCGTGATGTGTCTCGTTGCTCGGCCTGGGGCTGCGAAACCTGTAAGGACAGACTCATCACCTTCCTGGTGCTCATCCGAAGCCAGAGCCCAGGGCAGCAGGACACTCCAGCGACTGGCGGAAGGAATGTGAGTGTCTGTACACAGTGTCTTCTTCATTTCAATAACCTCAAACATGCACCAGAAAGCCCGGTTTGTGCTCCGTCATCATTTCCCAATGTTTTCTCCAGTTTATTGTGTTTTTTCCCCCCAATTAGTTTAATTAGACATTTTTGTGATCATTAAAAGAATGTTTATAAAGAGCAGAGACTATGAAAATATCGAAGGAAGAAAATAAAACACCCAAGTGGTCTTTGAAAACGTGCCCCTGTCATCTTTAACATTTGAAATACAGTGTATCTCCGTGACTGCCCCGCCCATCTTGAGTCACTCTCGGCCAATGGGTGATTTGGGGGTTGGTTTGTTATTTTTTTCTTGAGGATACAAAGCCTTGAGTTTTGTAACCTTTTAGCCTAAATGGTGTGCAAACCTGATATTAATTTTTAAAAACCTCTAAAAATGGGGTAGAGAAGAATGCATTATTATTGTTTTAATCTGGCCACAGTAAGGTTATGATCTTATCACAGGGTCAGTGATAATGGATATTTCTTTTTGGGTGAATAGCCTGGTCTTCTGGATTGCCGTGTGTGTGTGTGTGTGTGTGTGTGTGTGTTGGTTGTTTCGTCTTTCGTTATAATGTAACAATACATTATTATTATTATTTCTAAGAGTTTCTCTTTTCCTATGGTGGCTGTTACATAGTTCAGCTATTTCTTCCAGGTGGTCAGTTTGCCTTTCGGTTCTGACTAGGGTGCGTCTTGCCACACGGGGAGCTACAGTCTGATTGTGGGTAAGGGTTTCTCTTTTCCTCTTTGTTTCCAGATTCTAGGCTCCCGAGGTTGCCGGGGAACCTCCCCCCGAGGTGATGAGAACCGTGTTTTTATTCCGGTCCTTCTTCAGCCTGCCCGCTGCCTTCTCCTTCCCTTCCGCCTCCCTCCCCGTCCTTCCTTTCTTTCAACATTTAGGTCTTTGAACCATCTGGAATTTATTTTTGTTTCTGTCGAGTTTGGGATCAGATTTGATGTTCTCTCCCGTCGGTCCCTGGTGTTTGTATAGCACGGACTCCGCCTCGGTGAACGGTGCCCATCGACAATGTTTGGGCAGGTCTTTGCTTTCCCAGCCCTTATCCCAGCGCTGAGGTCCACGGAGGTGTTCACCTCCTGCCCGGCTGCCTTCCCGCCTGGCTCCCGTGCCCTGCATGGGCATCCGCTGCCGTCCTCTGCTCTGGCTGTCCCTTCTCGAAGTCCCTCTGCAGATGGCTGTCCTCACTTGCTTCCTCTGGGCGGGGTCAGCCAGCCTGGCTGGGAAGGGCCAGACCGCACCGCCCACTGTGCCTTTGAGGTGCCCGGCGCCCGGCCACAGGAAGCTGCGCTTGACCGCGGCTCCTTCCCGAACCTTGCCCTGGGCAGTGGAGTTTGAATTGCACGTGCTTCTCACACACCACAGATTATATTTTCTTTAGCATTTTCCCAGCCATTTAGAGAGTAGGGGACCGCTCTTAGCGCACAGACCACAGAAGAGCGCAGCGTGCCGACCGCTCCCTGGGCCGTCTCTGCCCCGGAGCCCCAGCTGGGCTTCTCCGCGCCCGCCCTGGACCCTCCCCACGGAGGAGCCCCGGGTCCCAGGCTGCAGCTCCAAGCACCGCTTCTTTGAGTCGGCACAGTATGTGGGTTCACGGGGTGACACTTCGCAGTCCGCTCTACCCCCAAGTTCTGGGAATAACTTGAAACAATGGGAGCCGTGCAAGTGTGGTTTCCAGGGGTGTCACACTGTCCCCTTGCTCATTGGTATACATGTTGTGTGCAGAGATGTCCTCCCGGAAGAGGAGGTCTCGTCCCCTGTAACATTTTAATTTCTTCACAGCCTCATAGACAATGATCGCAAGGTCATTGTGGTGTAAAAACATCTTCCTGGGGGCGTACGTGCTTTCTTTTTTTTATCCTCACCCAAGGATATTTTTCCATATTTTGTTCAGATAGAGTGGGAGGGAGAGAGAGAGAGAGAAACATCAATGTGAAAGGGACACATCGAGTGGCTGCCACCCACACGACCCAACCAGGGCCGGGTACAAACTGCAACCGAGGTACGTGCCCTTAGCGGGAACCGAACCCGGGTCTCTCCGGACCGCAGGCCAACGCTCCAATCGTTGAGCCAAACCGGCCAGGGAGCGTACGTGCTTTCTTTATTAAAAGTTTTGTGCGCCCACTGCCGTTGTTTCTGTAACATGCCGTCTGCAGTGAGACATGTGACACTGTCCCCTGTGCTCACCATGCCTCTGCGAGTCCCCAGCTCACGGCCTCGGGCCGGCGCCTTGTGACAATAACACCACAGAGCTGTCCAGGGTCTCGGAAGCCGCGAGTTCCTTCCGTAAACATGTCACTGTAGCAGTTACTTTGAAATAGACGAGTAAAGGCAGCATTTGCGAGGTCAACCAGGAAGTGCTAAGATTTTCATGGGTTCCCACTTCCTCACGCCCCCAGCTCTGCCTGTTGGGGAGCGGGCTACGCCCCCCAGCTCTGCCTTCTGGGGAGCAGGGCTATGCCCCCCAGTTCTGCCTTCTGGGGAGTAGAGCTCACGCCTCCCAGCTCTGCCTGTTGGGGAGCGGGGCTCATGCCCCCCAGCTCTGCCTTCTGGGGAGCGGGGCAAACAAAAACTGTGATATTTGTTTAAACTCAGTCCCAAGCGATGTTCCACGTTTGGTGAGTTGCTGGCAGGGAGGCCCTGACATTCTCAGCCGCAGGGGGGCTCCCTGCAGGTGCCAGAAGGGTAACCCTGATGCAGCCCCGCTTCAGGTCGGCGCCCTCGGCCGTGCCAGGGAGGGGTTGGCATCTGTGTCTAAAGGGGGCCCCTGAGGCCTGCGAAGTTATACAAGCTCCCGAGTCAGCCGAGCCCGAGCCCAGACTGCGCGGAGGCCTGTTCCCATCTGCTCTTGCTCTGCGGGGAGCCGCCGGGGGGGTCAGCTCTCGCCACCGTCGGTGGACGTGTGCACCCGTGTGTTGCACGCTCTTCTGCGGGCACACGCACCACACGGAAGCCACCGAGCCCAGCGGTTTAAAGTCCTGTCGCGGGAACCGTAGTCGCTTCCTCTATCATCCTAGCTCCCCCCGCAGAGCAGATCCCCTCACGGGAGCACGTCATTTCGGCAGCATCGTTGTTGGTGGTTCTTTTTCTTCCCTTTGACATCTGTCCCCTTGGCCGTGGGTGAGTCTCTGCTGGGCAGGCTTCTCAGTGTCCACGCGGCAGATGTCGGCCAGTCTTCCCCGTGTAAGGACACCGCGTGGCAGCCCTGAACGCCACCTGTTTTCCCTCCGGTCTCAGCGCCCGTGCGCCTCCTCCGTGCGCGTGGCTTGGTGCCCCCGTGGACCTGGTTCCACAGAGCGCGGGCCGGGCCACAGCGGGGCAAACTCTGCCCACAGTGTCCAACCCTCAGACTTCTCGGACGTGTTCTCCAACTTCCGTGGTGCCCGGTAAAATGCGACAAACAGGCTCTGCCACCACACACGCACCCTCAGGACTCGATCGTTACTGGGGCAGGGTAACCACGGAGCAACCCCCCAGTATGTTTGGTTGTAAATTCTCAAGATGGTTGTCATGCTATGAGAAAAGGGCAGAAGAATAACGGGGCACAGAAGCAGGGCGTTAACAAATAACGGAAATGATAAAGGCTCCGGTGGAAAAGTAGAAGGCTACACGGAGCTGGAAATGCGTTCCTGTCACTCGTCACCCAGGCGGTGGGGTCCTTCTCCACCGAATCCACGGCCCCTCTGGGGCGGTGTCACTTTGGAGGCTGGGGGTGTGGGGGCCGAACACGCCCTTTAATGGTGCAGGGGGGAATCACCATTAAACTTTTACCAGGAGCAAAAGGAAAAGCCAGCCACCTCGGGGTCTAACCCTAACCCTTGTCTTGCCCAGCGGCGTGGCCAGAGCGTGGACACAGGCCCACTTCGGGGAAGGGTCCGGCCCGGTGCTGCTGGACGAAGTGCGCTGCACAGGCAACGAGCTGTCCCTCGAGCAGTGTCCCAAGAGCGCCTGGGGCGAGCACAACTGTGGCCACAGAGAAGACGCCGGGGTGTCCTGCACCCCGCTGACTGGTGAGACCTCCACCCCTTCCCCTGCCAGCCCTGCCCCGCTCGGATCAGCCTTCCCTTCCCCGGGTCTCAGTGTCCATAATGTTAGTAAATGAGCATAAAAAGACACATGCCCCATAAAACAACCGCCAGAAACATCTAACAGCCCTTGTCTGTTACACACTCTCCTTATTCACAGATCTTTCTGAATTTTTCATGGCAGGGGCACACGGCCCTGCGCAGCTAGATCCGGAAACCGGCTTGGCTGCAGCGTAGCACCCAGGGGCCAGCGTCACCGCGTCACCGCGGTGCTGCGTTTCAGGCTCTGGGTGTCCGCCTGCGCCGTTCCCCTGTGAGCGGTCTCGACTCAGCCGCCCTGGTGGGCGCTCGGTCCAGTGCTGTTAAAGGGACCGTGTTGACCTCCGTGTGCTCGGTTTTCAGACTGTCCCCCACCACAGCCCGCCAACCTGTGCCACCTGCTGTACGAGGGGCGTGTCTGAGGGCTGGTGGGGGGGTGTCTGTGCTCACTGTCCTGGGGGCAGAAGAGGGAGATGTCCCCAAGGGGCGTCAGGTCTCACGAAGCCGTTGTTTCCGGAGGACAGACTCCAAGAAAAGGTGGGCTTTCAAACTGTCCTTAAAAGAAATTTAAGAAAACACTTCTTAGGGCCTATGACAGGCTGAAGTGAAGCCTTTTCGTTAACATGGTTCTATACGTGCTGTTGTTTTCATTAGCAGGACAGTCACGTCCGTACACAGTAGGGGTGCGGAGTTCACGCCAGAGCCGAGCCCCTTCCTCTGCGACAGGCTGGCCTGGCGCTGCAGCCACGAGGGTCAGTGCTGGCGGCCCGCAGCTTCCATTCAACAGCCCTTCTGTTGCCGGGAGACACGCCTTTGCTTGACCAGACCCCAGAGATTCATGAAAAGCATGACTTTCACCCAAGATTACTTGAGTGTTCCATTTGGGGCAGTATTTGGATGATTTTGGATGGAAATGGCACTAAAATCTAATTTTGGGCGATAACTTACAGTATTGTGAATCCGCTCAGAAGCCCACTGCCGGACTCTAGGAACCGAGATCCGCTGAGTCTGTAAGATGCACGTTCGAATCTGTATTCTCAGCGGAAGGGCAGAGACGCGGCGTGTCCCAGTTTCTATAGCCCACGTGGCCGAGGAACGTGTGTGAGCACCGCCGCTCCCACCAGAGGGCGTTTCCCGTCTTTGCATTTCAGTGTTTCATCTGCAGCTGCGGTTTGGGCTTTTCGAAGTTACTGTGTTTTCTTACTTTTGAAGTTTATTTTTATTTATTTTTTATCCTCACCCGAGGATATTTTTCCATTTTTTGTACAGATAGAGTGGGAGGGAGAGAGAGGAAGGGAGAGAGAGAGAGAAACATCGATGTGAAAGGGACACATCGAGTGGCTGCCACCCACACGACCAACCAGGGCCAGGGACAAACTGCAACCGAAGTACATGCCCTTAGCGGGAACCGAACCCGGGTCTCTCCGGACCGCAGGCCGACACTCCAACCGCTGAACCAAACTGGCCAGGGCCAGGGCTTACTTTTGAAGTTTAAACAGCGAATACTGCTCCGTCTTCAGGAGAGGGAAGCCATAGGAAATTTCCCCAATATTATTTAATCCAGAGAAGTCTGCATCGCTCCCTTGGAATGAAGTCAGAATGTTCCCTGCTCAGAGAACAGGCGCACAGATCAAAGGAAGGGGTCTGTTAGGGCAGATACGCGCCGCATCACACTCGCGAGCTCCCCGCGACCTGGTCCGTGGTGCAGCCCGGGCACGTCGAACAGAAAAGCCCGGAGAGACCGACATCTGGTGGTGTTTCTGGTGACATGGAAATGCCGTTTGGCCCTTTTCTGAGAGTGATTTGCTTCGTGTCTGTGTCTCCTCCCCACCGCAGATGGGGTCCTCCGCCTGGCCGGGGGGAAGGACAGCCACGAGGGTCGCCTGGAGGTGTATTACCGGGGACAGTGGGGCACCGTCTGTGGCGACGGCTGGACGGAGCTGAACACGCGTGTGGTGTGCCGGCAGCTGGGACTGAAGTAAGGGCCGGAGGCAGCCAGGGGCCACGCGGCTTTCGGGTCTGGTCTTGGGGTCCGTCCTCGGCGTCTCCGCACGAAACACGCGTGCTCTCTGTCCTGCCCCTGCCCCTGCACACGGGGTATGACACAGGACGCAGTCCCATTCTCTCTCATGATGAGTAACCGTGGCCCGCTGTTCCCTTCTTCCCCTTTCCTGCCGGGGCCCCTCTCCTGAGTGACTGGCTGGAGCGGGGTGGCCGTTAAGTCCCTGTGTGAATGGTCCGTGTGGTCCGGCACCTCCCTGCTCCCGGGCACCGACAGGCCGGACGTCGCTGGTCTGAGCGGCAGAGGAGCCGTGTCAGGTGCTCTGGGCTGCACTGCCCCTTCCCCAGGGACGACAGTCACCATTTTTTGTTTGTTTGTTTTTTATCCTCACCCGAGGACATTTTTCGATATTTTGTTCAGATAGAGTGGGAGGGAGAGAAAAATATCGATGTGAAAGGGACACATCGAGTGGTTGCCACCCACACGACCAATGAGGGCCAGGGACAAACTGCAACTGAGGTACATGCCCTTAGTGGGAACCGAACCCGGGTCTCTCCAGACCGCAGGCCGACGCTCCAACCGCTGAGCAACCGGCCAGGGCACAGTCAGCATTTTTATTGGAGGGAACAGCCTTCTTGTCATGAGATGGCCTCTGGGACTCACCCCGATCTCGCTCTTAAAAGCTGGGCGCCGCACTCCGGGGGACAAGTCTTGTGTCTCGCACACGATCATTCCCGAGCGAGCGGACTGAAGGAACCACAGACGGTGCCCGCGAGCTGATGTCTGCAGGGGCTCACGCGTGCCCCCCGTCCTGGCACCCCGCTGTCCTTGGGGTGCTCGAAAAAGGGCACAAGTACTTCATTTCAGCCTGAGATGGAGCTATTGCAAATATTCAGTAAACCTTAAAAATATACTTTCCTTCAAGCTAGGCATGGCCATTGTTTATATATATATATATATATACACACACTATATATATATACACACACACATATATATACTTGTAAAAGTAACATAAAATACTAGCAAACAGTTGAAAGGAAAGAAACCGAGAACCACCCACAATGGTTTCTTGCTCGCACCTTCATTAGCACACGAGCTGTAGGAGTGGCGTGTGATTTGCTTCTATCCACATCTTTACCTTCATTTTACTGATAGTCATAATTTCTGAATAATTCTCACCTGAGGATATTTTTCCGTTATTTTCAGATAGAGTAGGAGAGAGAGAGAGAGAAACAGCGATGTGAGAGAGACACATGGACTGGTTGCCTCCCACATGACTCCATCCGGGACCGGGGATCGAACCACAGCCGAGGCACCTGCCCTTGGCCGGAATCGAATCTGTGGCTCTGGTCCGAGGGCTGGCGCTCTAACTGCTGAGCCGCACGGGCCAGGGCCATAGTCATAATTTTAATGACAACATAGGTTCCACTGAGTGTTTATACCACGATTCACTTAACACTTAGGTTAGTTTAGCTTTTTCTGTTACAAACACTGCTATTCTGAAGCTGTAGATGCATATCATCGCCCAACATCTTGAATTTTCACGGGTACTGCAGTTATACTTATTGGGTCAAGGGGTATGACCTACCAGCCAAATAAATACTGGTATTTCCTGAACAAGAAGGACCTAATAAAGTCATTTCATGTTCAATAAATCTGTTACTGAGGGCTGTGTGCCATTTTACAGATTTAGAAAGAGTGCTAAATACTTTAATTTACTATTTTTAGACTCTTCCTCATTAAGGTAAACAATTGCATGACACTGACTTTTCCCTCCATACTTCATGCGTTTTGTTTCACAAATCCATTTAGTTTTTCTTCCGCATCTGCCGCGTCAGCAGAACTCAGCTGTTCTAGAATGTTCTCCACTATATTTGTCAGTTCCGATGACTGTGTTAGAACAGGAGTGTGCTCACACCCCCTCAGCGTCCACGGGCATCTCTGAGAGAGGCTGTCCGTCGAACGAGACGGCCGAGTGTGGGTGTCCTTGCACAATGACATCCCGGAGCCAGGACCTCCGTGGCCTGTGGACGGTTGTGCGGACGGTGGTGGTCAGTCGGGCCAGTGGACCGTGACGGCAGCGTGAGATTTAGGTGGTTCTTTTCCTTGCTACCACTCGACTACTCAGCGACGGAGTAGGCCTTAGAAGTAGGAATTAAAAGTCCTCCCTTTTTTTTAGTTAGTTAGAATGTTACTTGTGTTAAATTCATTTAATAACTAAGTGCACAGGAAAAGGGTGAGGACGATTCACGCCGGACGGGAAGATGTCTTCGTGTTTCAGCACAGAAATAACAGCAGCGCCGGTTTGAGCGCGAGTTTAATCACCCAGATTCTTGGAGCGGAGAGACGCCCTCCATAGCCTCTCGCTGGGCGATTTCTGGAGGCCTGGGATGTACCGGGCGCTGGGGGAGGGGAGCGAAGGCGCAGTCTGACCTAGTTACCAGGCGGGAGTCTGCAGGTCTTCCTTACCCCTGCAGCCTCTGCATTTCTGACAACCCACCGAGGTTCCCCAGTGCGGGGTCACAGACAAGGTCAGTTGGAGCACACATATAATTCATAAAAATCTAAAACATCAAGTTCATGTAACCTTATGAAAATCTGAGAACACCGTCTGATTTGGGGGAGTCCAAGCATTGGGCACAGTGCTTGAGGAACGGCTGAACTACTCCCCACTTTTTCTTTCGGGGGAGAGGACACCAAAGAGGCCTGAAGCTGATGAGACCCCTGAGCTCCCAGCTCATCAGGGCCCCTGCAGGGCCAGCGTCCTCGCTCCTGGGTCCCCGGCGCTGAGCACGGCAGGCCCCGAGGTGCGGCCTCTGTCTGCATTCCCTCTGGCTGGAGGTAGGCTGTAGACTAAACGCGGGACGGACAGGGGAGAAGGTCAGCTGTCCCTCAGCGACCCTCTGGGCCGGGCCAGCACCATGGTCCAGACGCATGCAGGAGGGCGCTGATCTCGGCCCGGTTCAAGTGGGAGGAGGAACACGCGTCCTCCGGGGTCACGACGCCCAGTCAGGTTGCGTGTTCCGCGCCGTGTGGTCCCTGGAGTGTTCTCTGCATGTGTCTGTTGTTGTGCAGGTCTGGCCGGCCAGCCTCCGCCACCCACTTTGAGGGGAGCGCAGGGCCCGCGTGGCTGGGGCACGTCCGCTGCTCAGGAAGGGAGACCAGCCTCCTGCAGTGCGCCAGGCCCCGGTGGGACTCGCACGACTGCAGCCACCCGGAGGGCGTCGGTGTCACCTGCTCCGCGGGCGGCGAGGGACACAGGCCGTCTCTGGGTGAGCAGCCCCTGCGCCCCTGTGCCCGGCCGCAGGCTGGCACCCCCTCTCTGACCTTCCCGTCCGCTTCCCAGTGTCCTTGTGTTCAGTGATCTGCATTCCAAACAATAATCTTCTGAGTGTTTCCACCAATGTTATGCAATGTCTACTCCTAAAGTTGTCTTTCTGTACTAGAAGCCAGGTTTCTTACTAAACATGTTTATAATCACGTGCGTCTGAAAGACGGAGTAACCAGGCGGCCATGTCCACTCTCCCGCCCACGGGTCCCAGTCTCGTTCTCGTACCTGTCCGCTGGACCGTCAGCGACAGGGTTTGAACCTCTCCCCACCCACGTGCCTTCCGTCCTGAGGTCCTGTCAGCCCTGGTCGCCAGCCGCCGTGCTCTGGCCTGACCCAGGCTCCCCGAGTGTCCCGGGCTCCTCCCCACGCTCACTGGAGCGGGCGCCCACCGGTCTTTCCGCGATTCCCCACTACTCTGGACCCCCAGGGCCCTTCACTGCCCCGTCCACCGTCGTCCAGGCTCGTGGCCGAATGCAAGGTAAGTAGCTCATCCCAGGCTTGAGCTAATTATGGATAAAGGTCCTCCTGTCAGCAGAGGGCAACTGCCTGTCCCTTGACTGACTGACCAGACGGGGGCAGAACACACACGGATGAACAGTCCAGGGGGGTGTTAAACAGACACTGCGCCCCTCGACCCAGCTCTGCTCGCCGCCTCCTGTAGCCCTGTGTGTACACCGCACAGCACTCTCCGTGTGATGTGCTCTGAGTACACAAACACCCACAGGACCTCTCACCTCTGGCCTCGGGGTGAGTCAGCCTGGGTGTCCTCCAGCTTGGAGACAGTGGAGTTTCCGTCTTCGTGCTACGAAACGGCAGGACTTGGCGATCGCCCGGTGCTGACCTGTTGGGCCCTGACGTTGTCAAGGTGCAGGTCATTCCTCACAGGCCCTGCGATCATGGCGCCTCCTTGTGGTCACCCAGCACTGGGCCAAGCGCACGCACAGGCTTTGCTGCACCCTCAGGGGTCAGATTCCAACTCTTCCTTCCCGCTGTCCCCCCGCCCCGCTCCCGACTGCTCCCAGAGGATTTATGATCCTCCCCGATCGAGTGGGGAAGGGTGACACGTGTCTGCGGGGATCGAAGGGATCGAACCTGTTTGCTGGAAACGGATCCCCCCGGCCCCCAGCAGCAGGTGTGTGGGTCGTGGAGTGACCGGTGGAGGCGCCATCGGTGTCCGGGTGACCAGGTTCTGGAAATGACCCACAGGAGCCAGCACAGGCCTCTCGGAAGGTCTCTGTGGTTAAACAGATACCAGAGCTTAGTTCTCCCGAAGACGTTTTTAATTCCAGGCTTCTTGACATATTTCTTAAAAATGTAAAAAGCTGAGGGCGATAATTATTCGTGAAATATGTGATCTTCATTTTGCATCCCTTTGGGCCTAGTTTGGGTAATGTGTCTATTAGCGGTTCGTTTGACCGAAGAACATCATGTCGGAGCCAAGTCCCCTTTCGGAACAGTCACTGCCATTTACTCGTCCAGAGACATCGTTACTTTCCCACTAATCAAAGGGACCACCCGGGGGACCGAGAGCAGAGAAAAGGCCCCGAGCTGGCGAGACACAGCGTCTCGGGGTGCTGAGCTGCAGGACTCCTCGTCCTTACTGTTTGAGGGTGACCTGTGCGCCTCCGCTTTGTGAATAAACCGCCCTGAGCGTTGCAGCGGTCCGATGAGCACCCTCTGCGTTTGGGTCCGTGATGGGCGAAATGCTTCAGGCAGGTCTGTGGGTCAGCAGAAGTGATTCGCGGGAGAACGCGGGCCAGGCCCACGTGAGTCGGGGAGTTTGTGGAGATCGGTTCTGCGGAGGGGCCCGTCCCACAAAGCGCGGAGATTTTGGACAGAGCTGGCGGGCCAGTCACGGGCCGCGCAGGGCTGGGAGCGGAAGAGGGTCGAGGGAGCGAAGGACACGGGTCCATCTCGCCACAGTGTTTCCTTTCCGTGAGCAGAGGTCCGCTCAGACTTGCGTACGTTGGCTGGATGACATTTTCGTTATTAGCTGCGTACAGCGCTTCCTTGGTCCGGGAGCATGTTTCATTGTGTCCCTAAGTCCTTCCCTGTGGGTCTTAGGGCTGGAGGCTGGAGACCCTTGTGGGAACGAGGAAACAGACAGAGTGCGCATTTGCAGGCTGGGGCTGCTGTGACAGGCACCGCGGACCCGTCCTTAGAGGGCACGTGGTGGTTGTCCCAGTTCTGGGCGCTGCAAGTCCCAAACCAAGGTGCCGGCAGGAGGGCCGGAGTCGGGCTCTGGCTGCTGGGCGGCCGTCTTCTCCCCAGCTCTCCTCGCTCTGCCTCTGCGTGTGTCCGTGTGTTCCCTGTCATGGGGACACCGGTCCGGTGGGAGCGGGCCCGCCCCAACGGCCTCCGAGCTCCACTCCCGAGAGCATGCGGCACAGGCAGGACTTGCAGCACCTGCCCTGCTCACGGTGCCGGCAGAGGCGTGGAATCGACACGCGTCTTCATTTGCTCAAGATCAGCTTCTCGCCTCCCACGTCTCAGCAGCTTTGAGGCCGTAAGCCCTTCCTGTGGGATCAGTGTACACGGGGGGCGTGAGGTGTTCCTGTACCTGCCTTCCTGTGGGATCAGTGTACACAGGGGGCGTGAGGTGTTCCTGTACCTGCCTTCCTGTGGGATCAGTGTACACAGGGGGCGTGAGGTGTTCCTGTACCTGCCTTCCTGTGGGATCAGTGTACACAGGGGCGTGAGGTGTTCCTGTACCTGCCTTCCTGTGGGATCAGTGGTAAAGGGATCAGTGTACACGGGGCGTGAGGTGTTCCTGTACCTGCCTTCCTGTGGGATCAGTGTACACAGGGGGCATGAGGTGTTCCTGTACCTGCCTTCCTGTGGGATCAGTGTACACAGGGGGCGTGAGGTGTTCCTGTACCTGCCTTCCTGTGGGATCAGTGTACACGGGGCGTGAGGTGTTCCTGTACCTGCCTTCCTGTGGGATCAGTGTACACGGGGCGTGAGGTGTTCCTGTACCTGCCTTCCTGTGGGATCAGTGTACACAGGGCGTGAGGTGTTCCTGTACCTGCCTTCCTGTGGGATCAGTGTACACGGGGCGTGAGGTGTTCCTGTACCTGCCTTCCTGTGGGATCAGTGTACACAGGGGCGTGAGGTGTTCCTGTACCTGCCTTCCTGCGGGATCAGTGTACACAGGGGTGTGAGGTGTTCCTGTACCTGCCTTCCTGTGGGATCAGTGTACACAGGGGGTGTGAGGTGTTCCTGTACCTGCCTTCCTGTGGGATCAGTGTACACAGGGGCATGAGGTGTTCCTGTACCTGCCTTCCTCTCTCCCTCCCCCGTCCGCTCACCCACGCAGCCAGCAGATGTCTGTTCATGCTCCCGGAAGTTCCTAGCCACTGACTGTGGATGTCTAGCTCTGTTCAAGGACAGATGAACAGGCACGAAATAAAACAACTCAAAGTTAATGTCTTACTACGTAGAAGTCAGTGGTGATGAAATCATTTGAATGTTATAGTGTCCTCCCTCCCTCACTGCACAGCTGATGCATGTCCTCTGTGCCGCCAGTCCCCAGCCCTGGGGCCACAGAGTGGGGCCCTGTGACCTCATGGCTTCAAAAGAGAGCACCAGCCCTGGCCGGTTTGGCTCAGCGGTTGGAGCGTCGACCTGCGGTACAGAGAGACCCGGGTTCGGTTCCCGCTAAGGGCACGTACCTCGGTTGCAGTTTGTCCCCGGCCCTGGTTGGTCGTGCGGGTGGCAGCCACTCGATGTGTCCTTTCACATCGATGTTTCTCTCTCCTCTCTCTTCCTCTCTCTCCCTCCCGCTCTGAACAAAAAAAAAAAAAAAAAAAGAGAGCACCAGAGTGGATCCGGTTTTTGTTGATGTCTCTCTCTCTCTATCTGTTGCCCAGCAGATTTTATAGCTGATTTTATTTTATTTTTTTTTCTTTATTGATTTTAGAGAGAGAGGAAGGGAGAGGGAGAGAGAGAGAGAAACATTGATGAGAGAGAACATTGATTGGCCGCCTCCTGCACGCCCCCCACTGGGGATCGGGCCCACAACCTGGGCATGTGCCCTGACCAGGAATCAAACCGGCGACCTCTTGGTGCAGGGTCGACGCTCCACCACTGAGCCACACCGGCTGGGCTTATAGCTGATTTTAAAACCACGTTCACTCCGTGTATCTCGCGCACTGGCTCCGTGTGCGTTTGGCTTCCTAACTCTTCTGAACCCTGGTGCAGGCTTCCCCGTCAGGCTGGTGGACGGAGAAGATGAGAAGGAAGGCCGCGTGGAGGTTTTCATCCGTGGCCAGTGGGGGACCATCTGTGACGACGGGTGGACGGACAAGGACGCGGCTGTGACCTGCCGGCAGCTTGGCTACAGGTGAGGGGACCCGCTGATTCGGAGGGTGACGTCATGAACGTGTCTGATGGGCCAAGCCTTGTTCTCACGAGCTGCTTTGGAAAAGCAGTGTTCACCGTTTGATTCCGAATTCAAAGCCTGTGAGCAGAGTCTGCCGAACCGCGTGTCTCCTCGCGGGAACACGCACGAGGTCCCGTGGCCGTGGCATTTCGCTGATAGCTCCCCACTCTTCATCCCACCTCTGTGACGTCCGTGTCAGCGTCGTGGCCGTGAGACGGTGCGGCTCCTGAGATCGCAGGGGGTCTCGTCACACGTGGTGACGCCCCATCCGGTCACGGCATCAGAGCGCTGCCGTCTGTGCCGTGTCAGCCCCGAGCGCCTGCCCCGCCCGTCTGCCAAGCGCCTTCTCTTTGCCTTCTCTGTGTTTTTTGTCGTTGCTGGATTCGCTGCTCAGGGCCCAAGCCCGGCGCGTCAAGCTGTCCCGGGCGAGCGCAGAGGCTGTGCCGAGGGTCCCTCGCTCCCACATGTCACTCAGCGCGAGTTCTGGCGAGGAGGCCCCCTGAAACCAGCCGGGGAAGGGGGAGCTTGTCCCCGGTGAGAGCGGACGGGAGAAGGCAGGCGCCCCCGGTGAGGCCTCACTGCCGAGTCCACGGCTCAGCGGCTCTGTGCGTGTGCATGGCGGCCAGGGACACCTGGGGCACGCTAGGGGCGTAGGGGTGCAGGTCCGGGTGGGCTCGGAGGCGTTGCCAACAGCGGGTGGGTCTGCAGTATGCCTGCACTGCACATCTGGGCATGTCTTCCTCGGGGTCCATTTAACCAGTCATTCCATGCAGAATGCATCCTTTCAGTATTTCTATTTTGATTCAAGTCCAGCGTTGTTTTTCTGACATTGAGATTCAGTGTGTTCTTTGCTGCTCAGTTAGTGCTTTTCGTTACCGCTCAGCTGTGGACCTAGTTCCAGGCGTCCTGTGGTCAGTGGGTGCCCCATCGGCGATGCAGTTTCAGCGTCCCAAGTTGGCGCGTGACACGGACTGTCCGCTTTGAAGCCATGGGCAGTAGGGCCGGTGGGACCAGTCTACCTGAGACGCCTCCGTGAACTCAGATTGATTTTGTTTGCTTCGCCCACACATCTCTCGTGCTCCTTCTTCCCTTCGAAAAAATATGCTTTTATATCACTGTGTTCACGTCGCATTCCCAGGGAGTTTCCCTATTTAAATCAGCCACTGGAGAACGTTGCTGTTTGAGAACCTTCTTGGTCACACTTCGGTTTTCCTGTGGCCACGACCTGGGAGACCTCGTAGTTCCTCCGGGAACGTGAAGGGAGAGGCCAGGTCTGACCCTCAGACCGTGCCTGGGCCCAGCTAAGGGAGGAGACGGTCCCTGAGCACATCCTTCTGGGCATTTTCGCCTCCGTCTCTTCCTGCACTTTCATTGCATTTTACTCATCGCCACTTAGTCCTTCTCACGTCCAGCCGCAGGGTGAACCCGGGTGGGGAGCTGTCCGGGTGAAGGGAGCGTCCGCGGCAGTTTCGTCATGTTCATGTTGGACGTCATCAAGAAAAGCGTTGAACGATTTTACTTGTAATTGTTTCTTAAAGCCTCTTAGTCAGTAAAACAGGCATTTAATGTTACTATCGAACAGATTGGATGACCACCTTCTAGTGCATAACCCACCATTTCCCATCACATAGTATTTAAATGAGAATCGTTTGGGTAGCTGCTCGCTCTGAATGTCCTTGAACTTTTTAATAGTTTCCCACGGGGGGGGAGTGGGGTTCCGTGGAAGAGCCCGTGTGTAATTGTGAACGGGTGGTGACTAGAGCAGGGGTCTTTTCCCGCGTGCACGCTGAATTGTTAAAAGCCTTCAACACAGCGCTTGTTTGTAGAGATCAGTCCAGAAAACGCGGCAGCTGTCAAGGCTGAGCCATGTCAGGGAGCATCGGAGGCCTGGCCCAGCCAGCTGTGTCCTGCTCCAGGAGTCATCCTTGGAAACACCGGGAACCTGACAGCCTTAGAAAGCATGTTCTCCGGGGGAGGAACAGAGATGAAGTCATGACCCCGGGAGCCAGATCTGGACACGCTCTGCTTTCTGAGCATCCGCAGGAAGCAAGCGGCATGACTTCATGGTTACGTAACGTCTGCCGGGTCTCCAACAGCAGCGTGTTGTTTTCAGAGGTTCGGAGAGAATGCGGTGACGTCAGTCAACCTTGTTAAGAGACTGAATGGCCACAGGGGAAATTGCATCCTCTGTGAGCTGGGGTCAGTCCATTAGCAAGTGCTTCAACAGGACATGTTTCCGGAACTGCGTATTTACCACAGTGACATTCCTTGAAAGAACTTAGAACGTGGCGTGTCTCTGCTGTGTAAGTAGAGACCTAAAACCGAGGATATCTAATTTTCACCTCACATCTAAATAGCCGCACAGGATTTCATTCCTGGCGTATCTGTGCGTGAAGTTTAAAAATAGAGCAGTTGTATCACTCTTCAGTTATAACCAATGAAATATAACCGTCACAGGGGGTTGACATTTGTCCATTCAGTTTAAAAAATACACGAACAAGCTCTTCTTTGGCCATCGCAAATTTTACATAGTTTGTTTTTCTCCTTGAGATTGTCATTTACCTTTTCGTTCCCCACAGAATTCTAACATTACGCTTTAAAAATGCGTCTACATATAGACATACGTGCAAATGTGTGTGTGTGCTCACACGCAGGGAGGGTGCAAGAGAGAGAGAAAGTCTTCTAACAAGTACCTCTCTGCATGTTAAAATTTCTAGCACACAAATGATCAAAAACAACAAATAATTAATTATTCAGCGTAGGAGATACACGTTGACCAAAGCTCCTGCTTCGTCACTGGACCGGTGGGCTGCTGTCATCTGGTTTGAAGGGTTCTTTGGGCCACTTGAGAGGCTTTTCAGTCTGTGGCAGGATCTGGGGTGAGTGGAAGGGATGCCTTTCTCTCGTGAGGTGGGAGAAGAGACATTTGGAAACAGGAGTGAATCTTGATTTTAGCAAGACCACTTTTAGGAGAGACTACGCGTGGAATCTGAGGATCTGAATATCGAGTTCTGCAGAGCCCATGCCCCCTTGCGACGTCCGCATCTACTCCCAGGAGCCCCACACCCCGGCTAAGGGTGAATGGATAGCGTCCCCGTCTCCTTGAGATCCCCACTGTGAGCCTCTGCCCGCCTCCTGCCCGGTGGGGGTCTCTCCTCTTTTCCTACAGATGACACAGTCCTCATTTATTTCAAAAAAGTCAAAGAAAAATTCATCAGATTTCACTGTATCATTGAGGATGTCTTTAATCATGCACGTTTATAGTCGAGATGGTCTCTAATTTCTTCCTGTTGTCTAAGATGTCACATGCTTTGAGTCTGTAAGTTAGTTGACTGATACATTACCAGGAAATCATCCTTTTGTTTTATTGAATGAGTCTACTTTATTTTTTACCTGTTGAGTTCTCCTTGCCATCCACTGTTACACCGTGTCCTGCATTACTGTCTGTTTGTTCTGTTCTCTGATTTTTTTTTTAATCCTCACGCGAGGACATTTTTTCATTTTTGTTCAAATAGAGTGGGAGGGAGAGAAAGGAAGAGAGAGAGAGAGAAACATCGATGTGAGAGAGAGACATTGAGTGACTGCCTCCCGCACGATCCTAACCAGGGCCGGGGACAAACTGCAACCGAGGTAGGTGCCCTTAGCAGGAACCGAACCCGGGTCTCTAGTCCGTGGGCCGACGCTCTAACCGCGGAGCCACACTGGCCAGGGCCTGTTCTCTGCTTTGCAAGCAATCCAGTTTTCTACTTCCTCTCCTTTCTCTAGTGTCTGGAAGGTCAGTGCCCTTACTGTTGCACTAGAAGTTCTCTCTAGAGTTTTAGCAACATACCGCATGTTTTCTTACCCACTGCAAAAATTGTCTGTTACTTCTGCGCCCCGAAAGTATCAAGACCTTCAGCGTCCTGTTCCTGGCTTTCTCCCCCACTCATCCTCACCCCTACTCGTCCCCTCCCCCGCTCCTCCCCTTCCCCGATCCTCCCCTTCCCCGCTCCTCCTCACCCCTACTCGTCCCCTCCCCCGCTCCTCCCCTCCCCCGCTCCTCCCCTCCCCCGCTCCTCCCCTCCCCCGCTCCTCCCCTCCCCCGCTCCTCCCCTCCCCCGCTCCTCCCCTCCCCCGCTCCTCCCCTCCCCCGCTCCTCCTCACCCCTACTCGTCCCCTCCCCTACTCGTCCCCTCCCCCGCTCCTCTTCACCCCTCACACCGAGGAGAACCATCTGGGACGTGAGTTTCTGCAGGCTGTTTGTTTGTACCTTTCTTCACATTATGCTCTTTGCATTTCAGGTGGCTTTACATTACACATCCACGTGTCAGCCGTTAGTTTAATTTTTAAAAAGATTAATAAAATAATTTCTGGCAATTCTGACAAGAAAGGAGAAGACACGTAAGCATGAGAGAACAGAAAAGGAGGATAAGCCCAGATAATGCAGAAAGTTAAAAATATTGTCGAATACCGTGAAATACTTGTCGTAATAAATCTGGAAATCTAGATGACATGGCCAGTTGCCTAGGAAACTGCACATTTTCAACAAAAATGTAATTATCAAAATGGAAGCAACAGATAGGAAACCCAGCTAGGTTAATTACCACGGAAGAAATGACGCTGACCTTGACCAGACCTCATGACAGAGGGTTCCCGAGTTACATAAATTGTTGCAGGACAACAACAAAAACTTCACACCACCTAAAACAGACGGAAGTATTTCCATTCATTTATGAGGCTGCGATGACTTGATTTCAAGACGAGACAAGTACATACTCACACAAAGAAAACCGTGCGTAAGACTTTCCAGCCCTGGCCGGTTTGGCTCAGCAGGTAGAGCGTCGCCTGTAGACTGAGGGGTCAGGGTTTGGATTCCCAGCCAAGGGCACGTGCCTGGGTTGCAGGTTTGATTCCCGGCCCCGGTGGGGGTCGTGCAGGAGGCAGCCAATCTGTGTGTCTCTCTCACATTGATGTTTCTCTCTCTCTCCTTCCCTCTCTCCTTTCCACTCAATCTAAAAAGCAATGGAAAAATATCCTCGGGTAAGAATTAAAACCAAAATATTCTACACAAAATGCTAGCAAATTTAATCCCACGGCGTAGAAGAGAACAATTTAGCACAGACGACTGGAATCTGGCCAAATCCGAGTGCGGAGCCCTCCCAGTAATGTGCTGTAGTTGTCATCTATAAACGGAACTAAATCCGATCATCTTAATAGTGTTGAAAAGTTATTTAAAAAGCAACCTTACTTATATTGCTTAGGAATCTGAGAATAAAATAAAGCCACCTTACTTGTCGGGCACAAACAAGCGTCGAAGGAACAAACAGGGTGCGTACCATCACCGCATGACAGTCGTGTGGGGAGCCCCCCGGCATCGGGAACCGAGGCACCAGCGTTGAGCAGGGCTTCACAACTGTAGTATGAGTAATACGATTGTCCGCCTCGAGAGCCCGGGGAATCCACCAGAAAGACACCAGAACGCGACATACATTATAAATATTTTTATTTTATTTTATTAAATTTTTTTTTTCTGTATTGATTTTAGAGAGAGAGATAGAAGCATGGATGAGAGAGAACATCGACTGGCCGCCTCCTGCATGCCCCCCACTGGGGATCGGGCCTACAACCTGGGCATGTGCCCTGACCAGGAATCGAACCAGCGACCTCTTGGTGCAGGGTCGACGCTCAACCACTGAGCCACACTGGCCGGGCCATTATAAATATTTTTTAAAAAGCATTGGTGTTCCTATATGCTAGGCAGAAAAGAAAAAGAAAAAGAAAATCTCATTTATAGAAGGTACAAAAACAAATGAATAAAAAAAATCTAGGCGCAAACCTGACAGGGATTGAGACCAATGGGAGGAAGACAGGGTGTTTCCTGAAGCTGGAAGTCCTAAAAATGACCCTCCCAGTCCTCAGTACCGCAGGCCGACACTCCAACCGCTGCGCCAAACCGGCCAGGGCGTCGCAGTCCTAATGAGAAGACAAATTAGAAATTAATCTATACATGAAGTGCTGTCCTTGCAAAACTCTTTTGTTGTCTTGGTGGGGGGTGCTTGGGAGGGGATCCAGTTTCCAGATTCATCTACAATGCAACCAGGTGATGCTGGCACAGGCAGAGGGCCCAGGGACCCCCACTGCCACAGTGGGTATCGCCCTCGGCGTCCCCGAAAACCACGCTGGGACATAAAATACCAAGGCCCGTGCCTGGCCCCCCACCACGGATTCTGCTTTGATTGGCCTCAGGTGGGGCTCAGGTCTTGCTACATTTTTTCAGTTACAGTTGGCATTCGATATTATTTTGTATTAGTTTCAGGTATACAGCATAGTGGTTGGACAACCACAGACTTTACAAAACGTGACCCTGATATTTCTAGTACCCACCTGGCACCATGCATAGTTAGTTACAGGTTTTGCTATATTTTAAAAGCCCTCCAAGGTAATTCTAATGTGTTGCCAAGGTTGGGAATTACTGAACTGTAAGAACCAAGAAAAAGCTTCAGGACGTATAGTTTGATGAATAAGTAAATAAAAAAGCCCTTCCAAATGGTAGGAGAAGTTATTTGAGACAGTTACTTTCGGGGCTAAAATAAAGCCAGGTCCCCCCTTCCTAACACTAAGCAGACATGCCTTCCAGACAGAGAACTGTATGTACAGAGTAAGACAGGAAAACGTTTTCTTCAAAGAGTCCATTTCATTGCGCACAGCCCAGCGCATCGGTTGCTTTCCGAAGACCCGCCTTGGTCAGCAGCCTGTCCTCCGAGCCTGAGAAGGGTCCGCGCCGTGGTCTCCTCAGGTGTGTGACTGGCTGGCCTCTCAGTCCTCGCAAATGCTCTGCTTCCAGGGGCCCGGCCAGAGCCAGGGCCATGGCTTACTTTGGGGAAGGAAAAGGACCCATCCACATGGATAACGTGGAGTGCACGGGAGCCGAGAGGTCCCTGGCCGACTGCATCAAACAAGAGATCGGGAGACACAACTGTCGCCACAGTGAAGACGCAGGCGTTATTTGTGATTATTTTGGCAAAAAAGCACCAGGTAACAGTAATAAAGGTAAGTCCTGGGCCTGTACAGGTCAGGAGCTTTAACCCCAGTCATGACTCGGAGCACACAGCCCGTGCCTCAGGAACGCACACAGCCTATACCCTATAATGCACACAGCCCATGCCCCAGGAATGCACACAGCCCGTGCCCTATAATATACACAGCCCACGCCCCAGGAATGCACACAGCCTGTACCCTATAATACACACAGCCCACACCCCAGGAATGCACACAGCCTGTACCCTATAATGCACACAGCCTACGCCCCAGGAATGCACACAGCCCACGCCCCAGGAATGCATACAGCCTGTACCCTATAATGCACACAGCCTACGCCCCAGGAATGCACACAGCCTGTGCCCTATAATGCACACAGCCTACGCCCCAGGAATGCACACAGCCTGTGCCCTATAATGCACACAGCCTACGCCCCAGGAATGCACACAGCCTGTGCCCTATAATGCACACAGCCCGCTCAGACGCTCCTGTGTACAGGCAGTGAGAGGCTCTGCAGGGAGAGCCCGGGGCGAGGCAGGAGTGCATTTATGGCTGTCCTCTCTGCAACCTCCCATTTCTGCATGCTGGGCCACTTCTGTCCATGCCCTCCCAGCACGCGAGAAAGTGGCCCAGGTCCTCGGTGTCCCAGAAGACCCAGAATGGACATCCACTCCGTAAAAAGAAGGGAAGGGATGGAAATATGGAGATGAATAACAGAAAGGCACTTCTGTTCATCCTGACATTTTAAACAACAGGGATAGTTTAAACATCCATTACAAAAAGAAAATTAGTGTTTGTAGATTCGATTCTGTGAAATTAGAAGTGTCAGGAAAAGGAGAAATCATCTTTCAGTGACAGATAGTAACAGATGTGTCAAGCTTGAACAGGAGAGTTCTCCAAAGCTCCGAGCTTAACTTTTATGAAACAAATACTGCTTTAAAAACGAGTAAGTGGGAGAACTTGTTGTGTTGGATAAAACTGCTTCTATTTTATGAAAAGAACAATCACCTCTATTTATGTGGACTGAGAGTCCACAGTCTTGATACATTGGATTTTCCTGAAAATTAGGTGCATCTATATTTGAACATTCTCCTCTAACATCTTTTCACAACTGCCTAAGGCAAGACAATAAATAGCGTTGAGAGTACAGTTCTCTGCGGGGCTTTGAATATAGAGAAATCTTCATAACGCTTTGGTCTCTGAGATATATATATGTATATATGTGATCAATATGATTTGGCCAGTCCTTCCTAAGTATTGGTTATAACTTAACTTATTAAATTCCCTTCAATAATTCAAACTACAGCCACACGTTGAATATAACTAATATAACATAACATTCTTTGGATTACTCCTTAAGCAAAAGGAAAACACACCCATTCGATCAGATGTTTTGCTATATTTTCAGGTAACCCTATTTTAAAACACGACACGCATAGATTACTGCATCACTGTTCTCATGCCTCCCGAGGGTGGCAGCAGTGCTTACTCTGATGCCTTTCTGCGGTGCCAGTGGCCCTGCGCCCCGTGAAAAGCCGTCACCCCAGACCCGCTACGTTGTAGAATCTGGCGCACGAGCCTGATGTTTCTGTTGAGGCTGAGACCCGGGGACCGGCCCCTGCACGGTGATTCCAGCTGAAGCCGTTGGTCGGTCGTCTGATGGGACCCTCTTATCAATGAGCTTCATTTTGCTTTTTAAATGTTTGCAACAGTGGCTGCTGTGGCCTTGAGCAGAGTTCCCCTCTGTCCGTCGGCGCTCTGCCCCCGAGTGAGGTCAGCTCCCGGCCTGCTCGCTCGGTGTCACACCGTCCCTGTCCTGGTGCCCAGCGCTGCCCTGCCCTGCACGGCACCGCAGCCTACGTGTGTGATGTCCCGTAGTTCACAGTGGCAGTTAGAGGACCCCGCCCTGAGCGAGAAGGATGAGGCTGGCCAGTCTGAGGCTGTGTGGTGTGCTAGTCCAGTGCTGGTGTCCCGCTGGGCCCTCGACCTGGTCACTGGGGGCCACCGGTCATTGGGGGACCAGGTCTCTGGGTCCCTGGCACGACTCCCACTCTTCTCCTCCGACACAGCCAGAAAACAGTCACCGGTACCCAGGGACTCCCCCGGGAGCACTAGCCTGACCTTAGTCCGCTGCTGGGCAGCGCCTCCCCACTTAACGTGGCTCGGTTGATGCTCTTGACAGAAGTGTGTTGCCTCGGGGAGTTGGACTGACTACAGTTTGCCACTTAGAGGGGCTTGGTGACCCTTTGGGGATGTTAATGCCTGAGTCCCGGTAGACTCCGACCAGGACGCCCCCAGGACACCCCCAGGACGCGCTCTGCTCCTGCGGAGTCGCGTGTACACGCGGGCTCGGCTGAGGGTCGTACATGCGCAGCAAGCGGTGTCGGCCACCGACCACCGGGGTCTTTGTTCAATGTTCCCGAACCACAGACACTTCTCTGAGCAGCAGAGGAGGAGGTGCAGGTACCGATGAGGTCAGACCTCCGGCCGCTGGGAAGCGTCTCAGAGACGCCGGTGGGACCCTCGGGACGTCCCTCCCCTGCGGCCTCAGTCGGCAGAACAGCTTCTTCCCCCCGAGGAAGAGCAGCCTCTGACTGGGAGAGGGAGGCACCTGAGGTGGGGAAGGAGCAGCAGGTCTGTGCTCCTCCCTGGGGCGGTCTGAGAGCGCGGTCCTCACCCTCACCCCTGTCTGCCCAGCGCCCCTCCCGGCCGTCTGCGGGCTCAGGCCGCTGCACCGGCGGCAGAAGCGGATCATTGGCGGGAAACACTCTTTAAGGTAAGGGTTCCGCAGCCGGGGTTCTGCAGTCGGTTCCGCAGCCTGGGTCCCGCAGCCGGTGTTCGCAGCAGGGGTTTCTCAGCTGGGGTCCCGCAGCAGGGGTTCCGCAGTCGGGGTTCCGCAGCCTGGGTCCCGCAGCCGGGGTTCCGCCGCAGGGGTTTCTCAGCTGGGGTCCCGCAGCAGGGGTTCCGCAGTCAGGGTCCGCAGTCGGGGTTCCGCAGCCTGGGTCCCGCAGCCGGGGTTCCGCAGCAGGGGTTTCTCAGCTGGGGTCCCGCAGCAGGGGTTCCGCAGTCAGGGTCCGCAGTCGGGGTTCCGCAGCCTGGGTCCCGCAGCAGGGGTTCCGCAGCAGGGGTTTCTCAGCTGGGGTCCCGCAGCAGGGGTTCCGCAGTCAGGGTCCGCAGTCGGGGTTCCGCAGCCTGGGTCCCGCAGCAGGGGTTTCTCAGCTGGGGTCCCGCAGCAGAGGTCCCGCAGCAGGGGTTCCGCAGCTGGGGTCCCGCAGCCGGGGTTCCGCATCCGGGGTCCCACAGCTGGGGTCCCGCAGCCGGGGTTCCACAGCGGGGTTCCGCAGCCTGGCTTCTTCGTGTCCCGGCGTTATTGTTTCGCACACTGCACACAGGGATACGGATTGGGGGCTGTCTGCCATCACGAGGGACGTTATTTTCTAATTAAACACGGGCCACACTGAGCATTCAGGGTCCTCGGATGCGTCCTCACGTCGCTGTCCTGGTTTATGAATACGGGTGCTGACAGGTACGTGGCTCCTTCCGCCGGACAGCTGGACAGTGTGTCGCTGAGGAACCCATTGCTTCCACAGTCTACTTGTGGACGCGACTCGTTTCGATATGATCGTTTTGCCTGCTGGTCCCCTGATGGAAAGCCCTTCAGGCCGCGGGGGAGAGTGGGGGGGAGAGAGCACACTTCCGTCATGAAGCAGGGGGTCCGCTTGTTTCCAGGTGCCCGGAGGGGTGCAGACGGTGCCCGTCTGTGCAGGGCTAGAGGGCACCCTTCTGGAAGCAGGGGGTCTGTCTCCCGGATCCTTTTACACGTCCCCCAACAGCTGCTGAGTCGGTGTCGTAATGGACGCGTTCCTTCGCCTCCCTTCCTCCTGGGATGTAGACGAGCAGCTTACTTTCTCCGCAGGGGCGGCTGGCCCTGGCAGGCGTCGCTCCGGCTCAAGTCGTCCCACGGAGACGGCAGGCTGCTCTGCGGGGCCACGCTCCTGAGCAGCTGCTGGGTGCTGACAGCCGCCCACTGCTTCAAGAGGTAGGTGCACCCCACACGGCCGGCCCTTCCCGCTCAGCCTCGGCCCTTCCTTCCCGCTCAGCCTCGGCCCTTCCTTCCCGCTCAGCCCCCCCCATGCCCTTCCTTCCCGCTCAGCCCCCGGCCCTTCCTTCCCGCTCAGCCCCCCCCATGCCCTTCCTTCCCGCTCAGCCCCCGGCCCTTCCTTCCCGCTCAGCCCCCGGCCCTTCCTTCCCGCTCAGCCCCCGGCCCTTCCTTCCCGCTCAGCCCCCCCCATGCCCTTCCTTCCCGCTCAGCCCTCGGCCCTTCCTTCCCGCTCAGCCCCGGCCCTTCCTTCCCGCTCAGCCCCCGGCCCTTCCTTCCCGCTCAGCCCTCGGCCCTTCCTTCCCGCTCAGCCCCCGCCCCTTCCTTCCCGCTCAGCCCCGGCCCTTCCTTCCTGCTCAGCCCCCGGCCCTTCCTCCCCGCTCAGCCCCGCCCCTTCCTTCCCGCTCAGCCCCCCCGCCCCCCTTCCTTCCCGCTCAGCCCCGGCCCTTCCTCCCCGCTCAGCCCCTGGACCCTTCCTTCCCGCTCAGCCCCGCCCCTTCCTTCCCGCTCAGCCCCGCCCCTTCCTTCCCGCTCAGCCCCGGCCCTTCCTTCCCGCTCAGCCCCCGGCCCTTCCTTCCCGCTCAGCCCCGCCCCTTCCTTCCCGCTCAGCCCCCGCCCCTTCCTTCCCGCTCAGCCCCGCCCCTTCCTTCCCGCTCAGCCCCGCCCCTTCCTTCCCGCTCAGCCCCGGCCCTTCCTTCCCGCTCAGCCCCGCCCCTTCCTTCCCGCTCAGCCCCGCCCCTTCCTTCCCGCTCAGCCCCGCCCCTTCCTTCCCGCTCAGCCCCGCCCCTTCCTTCCCGCTCAGCCCCGCCCCTTCCTTCCCGCTCAGCCCCTGGGCCCTTCCTTCCCGCTCAGCCCCGCCCCTTCCTTCCCGCTCAGCCCCTGGGCCCTTCCTTCCCGCTCAGCCCCGGCCCTTCCTTCCCGCTCAGCCCCGCCCCTTCCTTCCCGCTCAGCCCCCGCCCCTTCCTTCCCGCTCAGCCCCGCCCCTTCCTTCCCGCTCAGCCCCGCCCCTTCCTTCCCGCTCGGCCCCGCCCCTTCCTGCTCTCCAGCAGGTGGTACCAGGGCGCCTGGCCAGGCGGTGGGCCGCCCTGGTCTGTACCCGGGGCCGTGGACACCAGGGAGGGAGCGGGGGCAGAGGGCCCTCCGGAAGCTGCTCGCTGCCCTGGTGTTAGACGGAGTCTGGACTTAGGAGAACAGAAGGTGTTCTCTGGGGGCAGCTATGTGAGTGCTTCCCCGAGAACATCTCCTGGGGCCACATCCTGTCCCCAGAGAGCTAGGGACCCCTGTAATGTAATTAGGAAGGGGGGCGGGTGCAGTTTGGTGGCCGTGCGCCTTCGGGTCTTGCTGTTTGTGTTCTAGATTTCTGCCTGTGCCTTCCAGGAGGGCAGGTGGCGTCCTGATGGTTTCTTCTCCCAAACACTTTGTCCGTCCAGTCTGACGTCTCCCAGTTCAGAGGCACGCCCCCAAAAGAAACCGGGGAGCAGGCATCAGGGTGTGGGGCGTCCGCTCCGCAGCTCCTCCCTGCCTCCCGTCCTGCGCTCCGGTCCCGGTTCGGTGACCGGTGCTGGGCTCTGCTGTGTGTATTTGAAGGTGCTCCCTGCACACGTTGAAGTAAACCGTGCGCCGTAGTGTGAAAGCGACCTTCCGAGCGGAGCCTCGGTTCCCGTCCTCTCAGGGGCTCTCCCGAGGTCTTGCGGTGGGTGGGTGGGGCCACGTCCACCCCGACCCCCAGCTGAAGTTCAGTCCCGCTGGGAGACGGAGCAGTGTCCCTGTTCCCTGCTCACGGGCCGTGCGGGGGTCTCCGCAGAGGGCGCTGCGTGGACCCCTCAATGCGCTTCGTTGGTACACGCTGGCAGCGTGGAGCATGGGGTGTCGCTGGGCTCTGCTGAGCTCCTTTCGAGGTGACGGTGCCCGGTTGCACCCACCGCATGGGGACTCCTCGCATCCCGCCCAGCGTGGTGCCCCCCACATTTTTAGTTCTTGCCGATCTTTGAGGTTTGGGATTTTTAAAACATCCGTTTCCCTGATTAGTGTCTTCTTCTTCGTGAATTCGTTGTTTGTATCCTCTGCAGACTTTTCTATTGGGCTGTCGTTTTGTAGTGGACTTTTTGTTGTAACCCAGGAGAGTCATCCTCACTCAGACATCAAGTAATTTTGAATATTAGGAGCTACCTGCGCAGGGACTGCAGCCAACCTACACAGAGGAGAACTGCAGCCCCGAGCTCAGGGGGAGGGTTGCTTATATAGGACAGGGGTTACTCAAGAGTTTAGCAGAGTAAGCAAGCTACGTGTACAGAAGCAGATATCAGCAGTTAGTAGCTGTACAAGTTGTTTGTTTTATATTTCTTAACATTTACTAGACCCCAGCCTTGAATGCCTCATTGTCCCGTCTGGCATCTCCTGATTAGTTAAGCTCATGGTCATGGCTGATGCATACCTTCCTCTTCAAGAGTTTTTGCAAAAACAACTCGGGCTTAAGGAACCCAGGGGAGGTTCCTTCTTCTAGCAGATGGAGAATTACTGGGTTATAACACTTTTTACAGGTTTGTGCTCTGTGAACACAGCCCTTGTCATGTCACAAACGCCCCTTCTCCGGCACAGGTGCGGCCTTCCCCTCGCTTGTGCTCTCTTTCTGATGAAGTTGGTTTAATTCTAATCCATTTAAACATGTCGGACTCCTTTAAAGTTTGAGAAATGTGTGGACCTCAGGAGAGGACGTTCCCATGGCGGACAGCCTGGGTCAAGAACACTTCGCCACTTGCCGGTGTGGTCTTTCCACTGCAGCGTGGATAGGTTCAGCTCGCTAATCCGACTCCTAGGCTTTACTCCGGTCGGCTGAGTCTCTGGAGCCGAGGCCCACGCGCGTGTGTGTTTCCCAAGCACCCTCGCGGACTGCATGCTCGCTGAATGGCCGTGGTCTGGACGTTCGGAGAACGACCAGGAGGAAGAGTCCAGGGGTTGACAGGACGCTCGTCCTTGTCCTAGTGAACGTGTCGGTCACTGAGCTGGCCGGACGCTGAGGCGGAGTCAGTCAGTCTGGATGCCAGGAGACCGTCTCCCCGCGGCCAAGGGTCTCATGGGCCGAGTCCAGGGAGCTGAGCCCAGCTCGGGCTGCTTCAGTTCCGGGGAATGTGGCTCAAACACAGATGAGCGGGGAAGGCCCGGTGGCTTCAGTGCCGTTGGCCTCCGTGGGAGGCGGTGATGGAGGGCGGCTGCCCACGGAGCAGTCAGCACGGCAGCCGAGAGCCGTGCCTCCGGGGCGCCCAGGCAGTGCCGCAGTGGGCGGGCCCCTGCTCAGCCGGCGCCCCCTCGAGGGCCCGCACAAGGGGAGGTGGTGCGGAGCCTTACTCCACCTGTCACCTGTGGCTTCAGACACCACAGAGGTTGACACAGACGTTAAGGGAGATACGTGGTTCTTGTTGTATTCGTTTGCTTTTACTTTATTGTTTTAATCCTCACCCGAGGGTATTTTTCCATTTATCTTCAGACAGAGTGGGAGGGGGGAAGGGGAGAGAGAGATAAACATTGATGCAAGAGAGACACGTGGACTGGCTGCCTCCCGTATGACCCCGACCGGGGCCAGGGAGGAGCTGCAACTAAGGTAGGTGCCCCTGACTGGAACCAAACCCGGGACTCACTGGTCCACCGGCCGGCGCTCTAACCGCTGAGCCAAACCGGCCAGGGCTGATTTTTGTTCTGAAGTAAGAAAGAGGTTTTGGTTGTAGTTGTTGATTTTTACTTCTTCGACCCTCAGCCAGTCCAGAGGTGGCTGGTGGCAGGAAGGTCTGTGAAGCAGAGAGGTGGGGCCGGTGGCGTCCGAAGGTGAGGGCCGAGTGGGGAGGAAGGGCCGTGGCACTCCGTGGGGTGGGGGTCTGGGTTTGGGACTTAACATGAGGAGCAGGGAAGGCCTAGAACTCAGGGTGGTGAGTGTCAGTTTCATTCAGCAGGTGGTGGGGACCCACTCAAGGTGTTTTATTTTTTAATCCTCACCCAAGGATATTTTTCTATTTATCTTCAGATAGGGAGAGAGAGAGAGAGAGAAACACCAATGTAAGAGGGACACATCGACTGGTTGTCTCCCACACGACACCGACCAGGGCTGGGGACGAACCACAACTGAGGTACATGCCCTTGGCTGGAATCCAACCCGCGACTCATTGGTCTGCGGGCCTGGGCCCACTCGAGGTTTGTGAGGCTCGAAGTGGGATCGCAGAGGAGTTGTAGGCGGTGAGTCGTTTGGCGACGTTCAGGGTGCATCTGAGCGGGTAAAGCCAGGCCGCTGGTCCAGGGCCCACGGATGAGCTTCTCGTGTACGGAAACCTGCAGATGAGCTCACAGCCTTGCTCTGCAGGGACTCAGATGGGTCTGGGTCACCAAGGGATTGAGACCCACCGTGAAGGGACTGGAGGGGGCGAGTTGTAAGTCTGCTGCGGTGGAGACCGGGGTGGGAGAGAAGAGGGGAGGGAGGGACACTGGACAGACCCATCCACAGTGACCAGAGGAGTGGCCCTCCCGCTGCGACCAGGCTGCAGTCCCAGCTCCTCCGTGGCGGATGGTTGAACCTCGTGGGGATCGTTTCCCTTGGAGCCCAGTTGTCTGTCTGTGTGGTGGGGGCTGTGACATCCCGCCGAAGAGTTCAGGACCGGCTCCGGGTGGTATGGAGGTGGGGTCTGCAGGAAGGAATCAGAGAGGATGCTCAGCCAAAGTCAGGACCGCGGATGGTCTTGTTCCGCAGACGGGTAGGGGAGTGGGCACGGCACCGACCTGGGGAGCTGGGTCAGCACTCAGGGAGACGCCTCAGCCGCTTCGGTTCCGACCTCCTGCTGTGCAGGACTCGGCGTTACAGCTGAGGGGTCCGAGGCGGAAAGCATGGGACTGGGGACATGACCCCGAAGCCCCTGAGGTTGAAAACTTTGATCTGACTCTTGGGTTCCCTGGAGGGTCTTTCTCAGGCTCGTGTTTGTGTTTGTCCATGGACACGTTGGCCTGCTCCTGCCAGATGATGGCTGGGTGGGTAACCGCCTCGTTTGTGTTTGCAGAGCCAAGTGTCTCGCCCATTGCTTGGCTCGCATGGCGGCTCCTGAGTGATCGGGGCGTGAGGGCTCCGGCTCAGCTGCCAGAGTGGATGTGGCCACCAGTGCTGGGCCCCTGGAGGACCCTGGTGCTTCAGCCCTAGATCGGCAGGTGACTGCTCCCTGGGCCATTCTGTGTGTCCCCCGGGCCATTCTGCGTGTCCCCGGGCCATTCTGTGTGTCCCCCGGGCCATTCTGTGCCCCCCCAGTCATTCTGTGTCTCCCCCGGGCCATTCTGTGTGTCCCCCGGGCCATTCTGTGTGTCCCCTGGGCCATTCTGTGCCCCCCCAGTCATTCTGTGTCTCCCCTTCTCTGCGCACAGCAGAAGGCACAGTCCGAGTGTGGAGAGCAGGTGGGTCCTGCGGCTGTGATGCACTGTGGATGTGATGCACCCCTGAGTGTGAGCGGGGAGATGTTTGCAATGAGCTACATTATCCATCCGACTTGGCCCGTCACCTTCTCGGGTTCCACTGGCTTCCGTTTCGAAGAGCGAAGGAGGCTACACCTCATGTCTCAGTGCAGAGTTCGCTCGTGGCGTGAGCACAGTTACCAGCGATTAGAACGAGCTGCGGATTGTGCTCTTCGGGGCTCTGGGCTCTGGATTAGAGCAGCCCTCCCTTAATCACGGGAAACTGAGATGTGCCCAAAGAGACAGGCTCCCTCGGGAAGTGTGGAGACTCCCTTCCAGGTTCTCGCACGTCTGGTTTAGTTCAGGTTAGAAGGGAGCTCTGCCCGCCCCCTCCGGCTCCTGGCCCGTGTGATGGGTTCTGACTTCCCCTGCTCCGCGCCTTGTTCTTGGGGGGCGGCCTGGCCATCGGTGAGGCTCAGCTGTCATTGCACCCGTGTGGTTTGTCCGGGGCTGAGGGCTGCCGGCCTTGATCTGGTTTGCCGTCTAGAGGAGTCACGGTTCTGAAACCCTCACCATGGGACAAACAGACTGCTGGGCGGGCTGAGCCCAGCCTGCACCGCTCAGACCCGTGCCCGCCACACCCACTTCGTGCTGCGGCTCTGCGTGTGCCAGATACTTGGGGCGGTGGCAGTGTCTAACGAGGCCCCTCTCGCCACCCTCAGCTCTCAGAGGCGGGAGGTCACCGAGGCCCGGGTCACCGAGGAGTCAGACGGCCAGGGCCTCCGCCTCACTGCACATTCCCCGCGTGTTAGCGCCACACGGACTTCAGACGGCAGTGTCCCCTCGGGTGGTGGTGGGGCACCCGTGTCAGGAGAGGGAGTCCCCGAATGTTAAACTGATTCCTGTGAGTTGCTTAGTCTGATAACAAACACCACTTTGCAAGAAAGAATCTACCCCAAACGCCTCTTATTTCTGTAATTCTGCAAATTTGATTTGATCCAGAATATAGCTTTACCTGTTTTATCTTTCTGACTCTTTGTCCGGAAATGGTGTAGCAGCTGGAAATCATCAGATTGTGGCTCCGAAAATCAGAAAGGTCAGATCTTTGTAACTGAGAGGTGAGCCACAGTTGACAGGGAGGTGTGTCAGGTGACAGAGGTGAGCCAGAGGTGACAGGGAGGTGAGCCACAGGTGGCAGGGAGGTGAGCCACAGGTGGCAGGGAGGTGTGTCGGGGGTGACAGGGAGGTGTGTCAGAGGTGACAGGGAGGTGTGTCAGAGGTGACAGGGAGGTGAGCCACAGGTGACAGGGAGGTGTGTCAGAGGTGACAGGGAGGTGTGTCGGGGGTGACAGAGGTGAGCCACAGGTGACAGGGAGGTGTGTCACAGGTGGCAGGGAGGTGAGCCACAGGTGGCAGGGAGGTGTGTCAGAGGTGGCAGGGAGGTGAGCCACAGGTGGCAGGGAGGTGAGCCACAGGTGGCAGGGAGGTGTGTCAGAGGTGGCAAGGAGGTGAGCCACAGGTAACAGGGAGGTGTGTCAGGTCAGCATGTGTCCCACCTCGACCTGGGCTGGGGCAGAGCTCCTAGGAACACGGTCTTGGGGAGACGAGTGTACGGCCGTCGCTCATGCTAATCAGCTTCTGAGCACTGTCGGGACTGAGCAGGTTCCCCACGGAGGCCACTGCTGTCTGAGCCACGGGAACCGTCTGCACAGCAGGCTTGTGGGCCCCTTGGGGCGTCATGCAGACAGCGGAGCCCGAGGCCTCGCGTGTGTCAGAGGTGACAGGGAGGTGAGCCAGAGGTGGGCTGGTATCAGGTGCCGTCATCACAGTTTTATTACTGATTTCAGAGGACGAGGAGGGACATCTGTCTGTTGTCTCCCCCCCGCATCCCAACCGGGCATCAGACCTGCAACCTGGGCATGTGCTCTGACCGGAAGTCAAATTCGCCACCTGTGGTGCATGGGGTGCTGCTCCGACCGCAGGGCCACCCGGCCAGGGCTGAAATGCTCTTTTCAGAGAGATACGTACCTGGGGAACGCGGAGAACGGGACCCTGCGACCTGCCTTCACCGCGGTCTTCAAGTCTGACGCGTGTTGCCGGTTAACTGCAGGCTCTGGGGTCGGGGGCCCGACTTGCCCAGCGGCTGTCTCCTGCTCCCACTTGTCTGACAGTCTCATCCGAGTTTTATTTGCGGGGGAGTCGAAGGCCTTTCAGCAAAGCAAACAACGGTGAGGGCCTGTCAGCCCAAACCCGAAACACTTATTTTAGAAACATGTTTGAGTAGAATCAAGTCTGTCAAAATAACAAAAGCTCAGCTAGAAAGACCTCGAAATACGTTGCAGAAGAGGGTCCCTCGGTCTGTTCTCTGGAGCAGCCTGGGACCAAGTCCACAGTCACACTGCGGACCTCAGCCTGCGCTGCCCCTGGCGTGACCGCAGCAAGGGAGCGAGACGTGGTCCTCACAGCGGAGGAGGCTTCGCCCCCACCGCGTCCCAGACTGTCCCAAGGCCACGACGCTGCTGTTGGGAGCGATCGGAGGATGGGTCAGTTTGGGGCAGGGCCGGAGTGCTTGCTCGGTATCCCTGACTCGAGACTTGGAAGATAAAATCAGTTTTTGCCCAATGAGGACGAGGGAGGGGGACATTGTGAATGGTTTGAATGGAGACAGGTTTGTGAAGAGCTTCTTTAAAATTTTTTTAATATGTTGGTATTGATTTTAGAGAGAGAAGGGAGAGGATGAGAGAAACATCCATCAGCTGCCTCCTGCACGCCCCCTACTGGGATGGAGCCCACAGCCCGGCTGTGCCCTGACTGGGGTGGAGCTGGGACCTCTCCGTCCAGGGGGCGGCGCTCAGTCCCCTGAGCCACACTGGCCAGGCTGTCAGACGCCCGTCAAGCAGCTGAAGTGACGGGTTTCGCGTTAGACCCTGAGCACATGAATTCGGCGTATCGACCCTTTATAATATAATCACGGTGCCAGCATACAGAAAGTGGAAGTGGAGTGAGAATTACCTAAATAGTCTGTGACTATTACTTTTTAGTTTCAGGATGTGACATGACCCTGAATGTCGCTTCTGTTTTGAGGGGGAACCCACGGGATGACCTCCAGGTGCAACACGTAAAGGGCCTCTGCCTGCGGGAGGGGGTGACTTAAGGTTGGACGCGGGGACCCCGAGGAAGCCCGGACCTGTGAGCTTCCAGGTCTCCGGCAGAGGCTGTGCGAGGGTCGTCCTTCTGCGCCGCTTAGCAAATCACTTCACCCGGTGCAGAGCCTTCCTTGGGGCCGTCAGAATGTCGGAGCGACTCTGACTTCCAGCGGCAGACGGAGCAGATGGGACGTTATGGGTACAGACAGGCAGTCACCAGAAACGCCCACTTCTCTAAACTCACGTTCAAGTGCCGGTCCGGTGGAAGACTCATGTTTTGGGGGAGAAAGTCACGATGGGAGCTGCTAAATGTCATTTCCCTTCCGCCGCTAGGAGGTGGGCTGGAAGCCAGAGTGACTGGGACGAAGCCGGGATGGGGGGCGAGCAATGGAGAGAGGTGAAGCCCCCCGGGGGGTGGTGAAGCCGGCCCACGGGAGCCTTGTTCGGTCGGCCGCCGGCTCCCGGCCCTGGGACAGGCCCCTGAGGAGCTGTCTGTCCCGCAGGTACGGGCACGGCCCGCGGAGCTACGCCGTCCGGGTCGGGGACTACCACACGCTGGTGCCCGAGGAGTTTGAGGAGGAAATCGGGGTGGAGCAGATCGTGGTTCACGGGGCGTACCGGCCCAACAGCAGCGACTACGACATCGCCCTGGTGCGACTGCGGGGCCCCGGCGAGCGGTGCGCCCGGCTCAGCGGCCACGTCCTGCCCGCCTGCCTGCCGCTGTGGCGGGAACGGCCCCAGAAGACGGCCTCCAACTGCCACATCACAGGGTGGGGGGACACAGGTAAGGGAGGGGACGGATGGGCTCCTTGCCGGGCCGGGGGCACCCATACCTCGCGTGTGCTCGCAGCTGGTTGTGAAGGCTTCGTGGGTTCGGGCGAGTTGTTTGCAGTTCTGCCAGCGTGTGGTCAGGCCTGTGATTCACACCGGGCGCTGCTGGATTCCCTTGGAAGTCCCGCCCAAGGGCAGAGCTCAGCCGCCTTGGAGTTCAAGGGGCAGGGAGCCTCCACTAAGTTCTCCTTCCGGTGAGGAGACAGGAAGATTTCAGGACCCACCCCAAGCGGGGGCCTGCTGGGTATTCGAGAAAGCTCCCCCCAGGCACTGGCTGTGGTGCTGGGCAGTCTGCTCCTTAGTAAGGGGCCCTTGATCAAACTAAGTCTGGCAGAGAATTCCTAACCCTGTGTGAGCTGCGGCGTAGCCCTGGAGGGACCCCACCCACACGGGCTCCTCCCCCCACACCCCGCCCCTCCCACGCTGGCCCCCAGGCAAGGGTCAGCGGCTCTGTCCCCAGGCCAGCAGCTCTGTCCCCTGGATGTGGAAGTAAACAGTGCGTCAGCCAGTGACCACTCAGGACGGGCCCGGAGACCTCCGAGCGGGCACCTCAGTGAGGTGCTGGGCCCAGACGATTGCCCAGTAAGGAGCAGCGGTGGGCTGAGGGCTCCCCACTGTAGCGGGGCACGAAGCATGCTCTGGGGGGATGGCCTGAGGCTTCCCCAGCAAACTGCCACAGGCTCGTTGGGTCGGGTCTGCACTGCTGTCACGCCCGCGGTGACAGGCATCTGAGCAGGCGTAGACCCGGACAAGGCCTTGGGGCAGCCTGGGAAGGTACACACGGAGCCCGTGGTTACCAGGTGAGTCCAGGCCTGGGTGTTCCCCGCGCCGTGCTGCCGAGGCCGCCGGGGCCTGAGAAGGGGCACGTTTGTCGGAACCGTGACCACTCCCCCGGGAAGGTTCACTCACCTTCCTGCAGACACCACATCCGAGGCCACAGCAATGACACGGGATGGACATTCACAGAGCGTGTTATCAGGGATGGGTCACTCCAGATGAGTAGGAGCAGAGTAAGGTGGGATTTTGGTCCGAGAACGAGCTGTCGTGGACGACACAGCGATGACCACTGCAGCCGCTCAGCGCCGGGGCTCCCCAGCGAGTGCACACAGGTGGAGCCTTAGACCGAAGCCTTACACAGGTGTCTCGCTTCTGGTCTTTATGACGATGCTCTATTCAGGACAGTCTTTGTCACCGCCCATGCTTATAGATAGCTGTCATTTGTAGTTAATCCCCGAGTCAGTGAGGCAGGTGATCTGAGGAGTGGACGTGCTAATACCACACGTGTCCACCCTCAGCGTAACGCACAGACCGAACACGAGCGCCCCCCACGTGCTTGCTCCAGGTCACCTGCCTGTAGCAAGTGCACATGTTCCTGTTGTTCTTCTGAAACTCAGCACCGACAACAGGTCAGTGGCGGGCAAGAGGGGCCGAGCGCAGATGTGACAAAGGCAGGTGACGCCGTGTGCCATTCACTGCACTGACGTCACAAGGGGCGTGTGTTAGGACTATTAAATGTCCCTGACTGTTGCATGCAGCTTTGAGGGCTCGGGCTGGAAGCGACTAACGCACACGGTCTGCTCTGCGCAGGGCGAGCCTACTCCAGGACCCTGCAGCAGGCCGGCGTCCCCTTGCTGCCCAGGAGGGTGTGTGAAGAGCGCTACAAGGGCCGCTTCACCAGGAGGATGCTCTGTGCCGGGAACCTCCGCGAGCACAGCCGTGTGGACAGCTGCCAGGGGGACAGCGGGGGGCCCCTCGTGTGCGAGCGGCCGGGAGCCAGCTGGGCTGTGTATGGGGTGACCTCCTGGGGGCACGGCTGTGGGGTCAAGGATTCACCTGGCGTGTATACCAAAGTTTCGGCCTTTGTACCTTGGATAAAAAGTGTCACCAAACTGTAATTCATGGAAACCTCGAGAGAAAATATTTAAAGAAATCTGTGGGAAACGTTCAGCCTGCACAGGAGTCCACTCTGAGATGTCAGCCAGTGGGGCCCGAGTCCCTGGACAGGCGGTGTTGTGGTAGAACCTGTGTACCCCTCTGCTGCCTGGGGAGTTCTGATGTGAACATTTGTTAGATACCTCGTGGTCGCGATCGTCCTACATTAGCGTTGTTCATTTCACTAGACTGCATTTATTCTCAGTTGAACTGAACTTACCCCTTCTGTTTCTCAGAGTTCTCTGGGGACTGTTTATTGATGGTGCAGTAATGCTGTTTTTACCTTTTTTTGGAGAACTCCTTATAATTGAATCAGTGATGTATGGATTCATATTAAGTGCCCATATTTGACATAAAAAATACATCATGCTCTGGCCAGTTTGGCTCAGTGGTTGGAGCATTGGCCCGAGGACCGGAGTCACGGGTTCGAATCTGCTCAAGGGCACATACCTAGGTTTCGGTTCCATCCCTGGCCCTGGTTGGGGTTGTGTGGGAGGCAGCCAATTGATGTTTCTCACGTAGATGTTTCTCTCTCCCTCACTCTCTAGCTGAAGGTAAATGGAAAAATATCCTCTGGTGAGGATTAAAAAAATAATCATTGCTACACTCAGAATAAGTCATTGTTTTTTGTTTACGAAAGTTTAAACTCAGTTTCTTATTCCAAAGGCTGACAAATCTTCAAGCATCATTGTCAAGTGAGGAATCACGGGGCCGAGGTAGGAATTCTCCTGAGTACCTAGACCGGTGCAGGCTCACTTTCACAGTAGTCCTGAGGGAAGCCTTTGTACCAGGCACTACGGCCAACACCATGAAAACACTACCTTCCTCGCATCGTACTAGAAAATGTGAAAGAATTCCTGGTAACACAATGAAGAATATCTTCAGTTCTTGGGTGCATAACCTAATTCACCCACCCTACTTGTTAACATACCTGCCCTGGCCACTTGACCACTTCGTCTGTAGCTGGGTGCTAGTGCCTTAGCTCTGCGCTCTTTTCTGCACCATGACCAGCGCCACCTACTGTTAACTCCACGGGAAGGGACTCAAACCTGATTCCCGAAGGCCAGGCCCAGGGTCCCATGTAACAAGGCTTCCTGCGCCTCCAGTGGTGAAGCTGAGTAGCCTCTTCATTTATCCCCAGGCTGTGCTCAGTGCACCTCATGCTTACAGGCCTAGAGGTCAAACTCCCAAAGGGGCCCCAATGCCGACAGTGGTCTTTTGCACCATGGCTCTCCCACCTCAAGGGAACTTTTCCCAAAGGGTAAGGAATAGCTTTCTCTGTAGCTACAGGATGGTCTTGGTGGCAGTGCAGTCTGAATAGAAAAGCTGTGCCCCTCAGGATACCTGAGTGGTCCTATTCCAGCGTTTTGGTGTCATGAATCCTTCCCCAAATCCCAGATAGTTTAGCTCTCCTGTGTCCAAGAATAGCTGCATAAAGACCGGTTATGAGGAGTGAATTTTAGGATTGAGAATGGACACCCCGTCCTTTTAAGGGCCTTCCCTTTCCTTCTGAATCAGACTGTCCTGTTTTGTGAAAAACTGGTGCTAACTTAATGGTGCTTTGCTTAATAGCTTGTTACTTTGTAGAAATGCAACGCTATACCATTGAATGAAATGCCATTAAAACTTTTCTTAAAGCTCTTGATAGAGGGAAACTTTTTAAATTCCCACGGGGAGATGAGCTACAGTGCACTTGCCCAAGGACTTGGGATACACGTGCCCTGCAGATGACAAAACTCATCCCGACCGGAACTCCTCACACCTGAAGCAAGCATCGCCGCCCTAAAACGACAGGTGGCGAAGCCCCCTCACTCACAAAGCCAAACCTCTGGTTCCTATACTATGCCTTTATTTGAGCTGACTTGTTAAATGTGACTCTTGTACGATACCAATGTGCCGGTCACATGTGTGTAAATAAAGTGCAGTCTTTCACCTCATATGGCTGCAGAATCTTCTGTATGGTGACTCCCTTCCACCCGGTTTTATGTATGTGACCCCCTTCTCTCTATGCTGTGGGCCTTACAAGCCTCCCTCGCCCCACCCCCACCCCGCCAGCTCTCCCGACAGTTACAGGAGGCGGCCTGTTCTCCGGGCCATCACAGCCCACTCCCCAATCAGCCAGGGCACAGGGAAGATCCGGATGAGCCAAGCGTTTTATTTAGTTACAACAAGGGCGCTCCCCTATTCTCCACTCAAGACAACATTCAGGCCCACACTGGAAACACGGCCTCGCCGGCCTCCTGAACAGCACCGCCCAGGGCAGGCGCTGCCAGCTCTGACGTCACGGCCGCCCCGCACTTCTCGCGATCCCTGCAAGAGAGGAAGAGTTTTATAGGATCCCGATGCGTCCAACTCGGAGCCGAGATTTCCGGAGGCATTTCAGTTACTTCCCGCCGGCCCGGCAGCCTTTCCAATTACAAAACGCCAGCAGGACGGGCCACACCCGTTACGACCCCTTTGCCATTTAAGATTAACCCCGAGATACGAAAAAGGAAAACGCCCTCGTCTCCCATCATCACCCCTCGGGACAGTGAGCCCCACTTCGCAGACATCGGAGAAACCGGCCTCCGCGCAAGCCCGCGGCCTCCGCGGTTGCAGGAGGGAAGAATGTCACTTGTGCAAGTCAGAATCTGATACCAATTAGATGGTGACAGCTTTGCCAATAAACAAGAAAATGCTCTTCCATGGCTAGGAAGGGAGACTGCCACAGCCGGCAGGTCCCAAAGACACATGGAGCCCGCGCGCCCGCCCGCCCGCGCCCCCGCCGGCACTGCTCACCGCGGGGCCCTCGGCCGCTGCCCGCAGGCGGCCGCTGTCCCGCCGGCCGGACGCGCCACGGCCACGTGGACCCCAGCGGCCCGACCTTCCCGGCCTCGCGGGCGCCCCGCCTCGGCCCGCCGGCCCGGGACGCACGTGGCGGCTGCGCGACCTCAGGACTCGCGCGCGCGCTCAGCCCTCCCGGCCGGCAGGCTCCCGAGGCTCCCTCCGCCGGGCACGACGGGGCTCCCGCCGCCGCCGCATCTGGACCAGGCCCGACGGTTCCGTCCTCAGCATGTTAACGCACAAGACACGGCCGCGCACGGCGACCTCCTCGCGACGCCACCCGGACGGGAAAGGCCGCACGCTTCTGCGCAGGCGCTCTTATACAGCGGATGACGCCATTCCGGGGCGCGCCGAGGGGCGGGGCCGACGCGCGCTCTCCCCGCGCCCCGCCCCTCTCGCCCCGCCCCAGCCCCACCCCCTCCTTCCCCACGGCCTCCAGCACATCTCTGCTCTCGGGGCGGGTCCCAAGATGGGCAGCTCACGCGGCTTCGGAGACGGACGCATGCGCGCACGGGGGAGGCGGGGCAAAAGTTCTCGCGAGACCCGGAAATCCTGCCGCTCGCGGGCGCCGGCTGACCGAAGGTGAAGAGGCTGTTTTCTGTTAAGTTCGGGGTAGTTACTGCAGAAACGGCAGGTTGGGCAGTTCCCGGTTGTGGGTTAATTCACACGGGATGAGCTGTCTCCGGGGTGCCCCCCATTCCCTGGAGCGGCTGCCGCAGGTGCATGTTCGGGTCCGGGTTCGAGGTCCAAGGGTTTGCACGCGGCATTGAGCGCTGAGGTCCGCACAAGTTAGAGGGGTGCAGGCAGACCGGGGGCGCGGGCGTCCCCGCAGGCTCATGGTCCCCGCAGGCGCGTCCCCGCAGGTGCATTGGCCCCGCAGGTGCATGGTCCCCGCAGGTGCATTGGCTCTGCAGGTGCATGGTCCCGGCAGGTGCATGGTCTCCGCAGGTGCATTGGCCCCGCAGGTGTATGGTCCCGGCAGGTGCATGGTCTCCGCAGGTGCATGGTCCTGGCAGGTGCATTGGCCCCGCAGGTGCATTGGCCCCGCAGGTGTGTCCCTGCAGGTGCATGGTCCCTGCAGGTGCCCTGGTGGTGCAGATAAGGGACTGCCGGGCCGCCACCGGGAAGCGGGTGCGGACGCGCAGGGACACTGCCCGCGCCGGCACGTGCCGATGGAAGGTGCTCCTCCTGCGGGCCGGAGCCGCAGGGACCGGGTGCCGGGGCGCAGGACCTCGGGCAGCGGTGCGGCGCGGGGCAGGGTCCCACGCACTAGCCTCTGGGGAAGGCGCCTCCGTGTGACGAACAAAGCCGTCCCTCGGCGCCCGTGTCCCACCCTGTCCCACTCCACGCACTCCTCAGGCACGAGTGCAGAGGCCTCTTCCGTACGTAGGCAGTTGGCGAACTAGGTGCCATGTACTCTCCAACTTGTGTCGTTCCGCTCGGGCTGTCCTAACCAACACCGGGCGGGGCTGGAACGCAGGGCGCTGTCCGACCGCCAGGGGGCCCCAGGGTCGGCTCCTCTCTGGCCTGCAGAGGGCGCTCCTCTCCCCGCGTCTCCACGTGTCTCCCCTCCACCTGGCTTCTGACGCCTTGTTGTGAGGATGGCTGCCCAGCGACCTCACTCAGCCGTAACTCTCTAAAGAGCCCTCTCCAGATGCAGCCGTGCCGAGGCCCTGGGGTTGGGCTTCAACACACGAATTGGGGGAGGCACAGCCCATGGCACCATCAATATACTGAGCTATAAACATTTATTGGAGATTTTTATTTTTTAATATATTTTAATTGAATTTTTAAGAGAGAAGGGAGAGAGAGAAACATTAATCAGCTGCCTCCTGCACCCCCCTACTGGAGATTGAGCCTGAAACCTGGGCATGTGCCTTGACCAGGAATCGAACCAGGACCTCTCAGTCCATGGGAGGACACTCAGTCCACTGAGCCACACTGGCTGGGCTACTGAAGGTTATTAATTGGATGTTCCCATTGGGTTAAGGTGGTGAACACCAAGCAATGAGAGAGTGAGACAGCGCCCCCATATTTTGTGTGTGTTCTTTTCTCCATCCGGAACATCTCCCCATGTATTTTCTTTCTTAAAATTGAGGTATACTTGACATACGACATTGTTAGTTTCAGGTGTACAACA